CTTCTCCCCCCCTCTTCTCTCTTTCCTCTCCCTCTCATGTTCGAACTTCTGGCTTGGGTCTAAATGCGGGCTCAGGTCCCTTACCCTTCTTCTCCCCCTTCCTCTCTTTCTCTCTTTTCCCTCTTTCCCTCTTTCTCCCTTCTCTTCTGTTCTCTTCCTTCTTCTTTCTTTTCTCTTCTCTCTCTCTTCTCTCTTTCCCTTCCATCTCATGTTCGAACTTCGGGCCCACACCTAGAGGTGGACCTAACTCTCTCGCACTTCTTCTCTCCTCTCCTCTCCTATCTTTCTCTCTTCTCCCTCTTTCTCTATTTCTCTCTCTCTCTCCGTCCTCTTTTCTCTCTCCCATATCCAGGTTCCGAGCCTGCACCTAGAGGCAGGCCCAGCTATTCTTCTCCCTCTCTCTTCCTTTCTTCTCTCCCCTCCTCTCTTTCTCTCTTCTCCCTCTTTCTATCTCTCTCCCGTTCTCTTCTCTCTCTCCCATGTCCATGTCCTGGGCTCGCACCTAGAAGCGGGCCCAGCTCTTCTTCTCTCTTCTCCCTCTCTCTTCCATTCTTCTCTGCCCTCCTCTCTTTCTCTCTTCTTCCTTTTTCTCTCTCTCTTTCTCGTTCTCTTCTCTCTTTTTCCCATGTTCAGGTTTCTAGCCTGTACCTAAAGGCGGGTTCAACTCTTCTTCTCTCTTCTCTTCTACTCTCTCCCTTTCTCTCTCTTTTCTCTTCTCCCTCTCTTCTCTTTTTCCCTTCCCTCTCATGTTCGAACTTGGGGCCTGTGCCTAAAGGCGGGCCTTGCTCCCTCACCCTTATTTTCTCCCTTTCTCTCTTTCTCTTCTCCCTCTCACTCTCTCTCTTATCCTCTTCTCTCTCTATCTCCTGTACCTAGGTTTCGGGCCCACACTTAGAGGCGGGCCCAACTCTTTATTCTCTCTTCCCCATCTCTCTTCTCTTCTACTTTATCCTTTTTTCTCTCTTTTCTACTCTTTCTCTTGTCCCTCTTTCCCTCTCTCGTTCTCTTCTCTCTCCCCCCCATGTCTAGGTTCCGGGCCTACACCTAGAGGTGAACTCAATTTTTCTTCTCTCTTCTCTCTTTTTTGTTCTCTACTATTTTTTCTCTTCCTCTTTTCTCCCCTTTCTTCTCCTTCCCTCACTGGCTCTCTCTCGCTCTTACTGTCACCCTCCCTTTCAGTCTTTCTTTCTCTCTCTTCACCGCCACTCTCTCTCCCTCCCTTTCAGTCTCTCTTTCTCTCTCTTCACTGCCACTCTCTCCCTTTCTCATCGCCATTCTCTCTCACTTTCCTCACTCTTTCTCTCTTATTATTGTTTTCACTCTCTCTCTTTTCACTGTCGCCTCTCTCTTTACCGTCACTCTCTTTTTCTCATTTTTACTCTCTTTATCGTTTCTCTTCCCCTATCTCACTCTCTCTCTTATCATCATGCTCTCTCTTTTCTATTATTTTATCTCTCGCTCTCACTTTCTCTCTCTTTCTCGTTTCACTTTCTCTCTATCTTCCTTCACCCCCTTCTTTCCTTATCTCTCTCTCTCTCTCTATTTCAATTTCTCTACTTTCTCTTCTTTCTTTTTTTCTCTCTCTACCTCTTGTCTTTTCTCTTTTGACATCTCCTACTCTCTTCTCATCCATCATTGCTTCATTCTTCTTTCATTAATGTTTTCTCACCTTATTTCTTCCATAAGATATTTTATTCATTCATTTCTTATGAGGTTGTTCTTTAAGATGATGCTGAAAGGCCGTCAAATTAATAAATAACTTTTCATTTCTCTTAAGTCATCTCCTTTATTCCTCCCATCATTCTCTCGATAAATTACCCATCTAATGAGAATTCAAGGTCTTCTGACCCACTTGTCTGACCATCTCATGCATGTATGTTAGTAAGGCACAATTGAAGTAAGGAAGTTAGAGCCGAACCAGCCTCAAGCTTGGGGGGCTTTCCATCAAGATCTAAGTGGGCGTCAGCTCACGTCTAAGCGTGTCACGAACCCATCGTGAGGTAGGTCCCACCTCACACCCTATAATTCTCCCTCATTAGTTGGTACTTGCCTGCGTACGCACCCATACGCCCTGCGGTTTCCGAGAGAGTGATCTTGGGCCGGACCCCCATCCGGGTCCCTGCATACGGTTTTTTGACCCAATGAGATCGAGGCCTAACCGATCATATTAACTTTTTGGAAGATGAAGATCTTGCATTGTTTTGATTTCTGATTTTTTTTCCTTCTTTTTTGGTATTTCTTTTGAAGTTTTGCGAAGCTAAAAATGTCTTTGCAAATATTTTTTGGTTCTTTGGTTTAGAAAACTTTTACGATTAACATGGTTATGTTTCAAAATACATGTCTTTTTTATTAAGAAAAAGTTTATATAGAGTCGAGGCTCTAAACAATCAAATTAGAGCCCATCTAAAAAATTTCATTAGAAGAGGTTGTTTTGATGCCCAAATATCCTCGAATTAATCATCTCGACATCAAGATGCATGGACATGAGAAAAAAAATAGATTTTAAGTTTTGGAAATAGAACATCTTGTGACGCATTTTTGGATCGTCAATGTTCAAGATTTTCATAGATCCGCTCGATGTACACTATTTTTTAAGCTTTAAATTTTATAATTAAAGATGAAAGTATATTTTAAAGCTATTACAAAGATTTCTAGTAGTAAAACCACATTTCTCGATACTATTTGAAGGTAGGCTCTAATTTGATCGTTTAGAGCCTCAGCTCTATGCAAACCGCACCCCATTAGGAATATACCACACATACTAAAAAAAGGTGTGGTTTGTATAGAGTCGAGGCTCTAAACGATCAAATTAGAGCTGAGGCTCTAATTCCTAATGTGCAGTCTATTCCTAATGGGGGGCGGTTTGCATAGAACCGAGGCTCTAAAAGATCAAATTAGAGCCCACCTTCAAATAGTGTCGAGAAATATGATTTCAATACTGAAAATTTTTGTGATAGCCTTAAATTATATTTTTATCTTTAGTTATAAAATTTAAAGCTTAAAAAATAATGTATATCGAGCTGATCTATGAAAACTTGAAAATATTGAAAATTGACGGTCCAAAAATACGTTACAAGATGCACTATTTATAAAACTTGAAATCTCATCTTGTTGTGGAGATGATCAATTTGATGATATTTGGGCATCAAAATAACCTCTTCTATTGAAAGTTTTGAGGTAGGCTATAATTTGATTGTTTAGAGCCTAGGCTCTATATAAACTTTTCCCTTCCTAATGTTGCATTTAGCACATACTTTGACTCGGAGATAAGCTGTAAGACTTTTGGAGTATACAACAATTGAGTTAATGGGACCTTAAACCAGTCTTATAGGCTTGAGATCTCAAGAAATTAGGTCTATTTTAGGAATCGGGGTTGGCCAAGGCGGTCGCAGCGGGGTTTTAATAGCACGTTTATCTTTATCATTTGTTTAACAGAAGAAATGGTTGATGTTCCTTTGGCATAGTATACGACGAGCATTATATGCCTATTAATGACTAAGTTTTAGCAGAAAAATGCAAAAGAAAAATAGAAAAAAATAATTAACCAAATAATAAATGACTCAAATTAGAGTTTCTAGCAAAAAAAATCTTATTCTATAAAAACATAATATAACTCATATTTAGAATTATAAAAGAAAAAGGAAAATCCTTATTGCTTTTTATTTATTTTTCTATTTTTTTACATTTTTGTATTTTTTATTTTCCAACATTCAAAATCCAAACTTAATTTAAAAATATAAAAAATTTATACTAAAAATTAATATAGTACTTAAATTTCTAGATATCACAAATATTTTACACTAACTAAATTTCTAATATTTAATTTCAAAGCATAATTTACTTTCTAAACTTTATATATAGTATTTTTTAGTTAAAATCATAATTTAGTTTACTTTAATTGATATTTATGATCAAGAATTTTAAGCTAATGAAAATTGTTTTATGGGGTCAGACTGTATTTGTACATATGCATACCAGAAGTATAAAACGTCCATTTTAAAAATGAATGCAAATATGTGGTCTATCTTAAAACAATTAAAATTAACGGTCTAAATATTTTTTAATAGAATTATTATTTATAATTTTAAAAATTTATTTATTTTTTCACATTCATGACCTCTATGATAGAGATTATAAAATTAAGTCCAAAAATTCGGTGGTCGGTAGAGGTGACATCCCAAAGGCACTCCACCGAGGAAATGCTCCGCGGGTTCACAGAATCTTACTTTACCTTTTTCTTCCATTCATGCCCTCGTCTTCCGTGAAGTTTACGGTTCAAGGTGAGTAACTCTCTCTCTCTCTGTCTCACTCTATACCTTTCCCGCGTGTTTTTCACTCCCTCCCTTTGCAAGCCATTCTTCCTCCACTATTGAGCCCCCTCTCTCTCTCTCTAAAAACCCTTCTTCCTTCTCTGCAAATTCCTCTCTGCAGCTGCTCCATTTCTCGCCTGGTAATTCCAGTTTCCACATCTTAGCAGCTAGGGTTTCATTATCTGCACCATCTCTCCGTCCCCCCCTCTCTCTCTCCCCCACTCTATCTAACCTTTGATTGGATGGTGGGGATGTGCAGGCAACCGATGCCCACACCAGAGATGGAATACGTTTTGGAGGCAGCCTCAGGTGCGCATTTCTCGGGCCTGCGATATGTGCTCCTTCAATCCTCCGAGAGTGAGGAGAACAAGCCCAAGCAGCCATTTGTTATTGGCAAGTGCTCTCGCATAATTTAGTGTTGCTTTTCTTTTGATCTGAGGAACTGTTGCTGATCTTCGTCGTTTTATGAAAATTCTTTATAGTTTTCAAGATTTGTGTACTTCTGTAAGATGTAATTCCGCATTTCTTGTTTTCTCCTTTTGGTTTAGATTTCGCTATGCATTGTCAGTTATGTGAGAATTTGTCATTTACATGAACAGATTTCACAATGCATTTTCAGTCTTTTATGTGAATGTAAGGATTTATCGTATATATGAACATGTATTTAATGAAATTATTGCGTTGTTCAATGTTCATATATATAGTGCGTTCTAATGCAATTTGCTCTATACTGCCATGAATTCCAATTTAATTCAGAAAAGATTCTAAGTATCTAGGGAAATGTTTGAACTTTGTTCCATTTTAATCTCTTATAATTTTTAACAAATTTTAAGACTTGAAAAAGGAACTGAGTTGGGCACTGTATATGCTTTTTTTTCCTTATTCTTTGTGTACTTGTAACATAAAAACAAAAAACTTAAATATATAAATTGCACAAATGGACATAAAATGGGCTGCATTGCTCATATTTTTCCAGCTAAGATGTGTGTGGAACGAGTGCTTCACATTTTTTATTGGCACTTGTGTATTTCTTATCGTATGAACTACTTCATCTAAATGTGTCATCAATCCATTTAAAGTAGAAGACTGCTTATTAAGAAAAAAAAGAGAGCATGCAACTGAAACAACACTGAATGTCTCCTGAGTGGCGTCCAAATTAGGCTCCATAGGTGCTGTTGAGATAACACGCCTTTGACCAATCTGATCCCAGTTGCTCTGACTGACACTTGCCTCCACTGTTGTTTCTGAGATGACATGGAGGATTCCTGAAAAGAGTCTACAGTGTTATGCTTGCTTTCCCATTATACGAACTTATGAATGCGCAAGTGAAGGTTCAAGCACATGCGTGTGAGTTGAGTTGCATCGCAAATGTTGACTGCACATGTGCTTGCGCAGGGGTGTGGGTCTGCATTTGCTGATCCATGTCATTGATTTGCTTTTAAATGAGATTGCATATGCATGTTGCCATGGTTTATTGCTTTGCTTTTTTTAAAATCACTTCTTGGCATCTTTTTTGCTGTATGTTTTTGATGTCTAGATACTTCATGTTCCTCACAGGAGTTTCTGGGGGCACGGCTTCAGGGAAGACTACTGTTTGTGATATGATCATCCAACAACTTCATGATCACCGTGTGGTTCTTGTCAATCAAGTAATTGTTTGAACTTGTAGGTGCTACTAGATGTGTACATTTCTTGTTAATTGTAAATCACAAATGAGTGTTTTTTCAATCGTATCTGACTATTATGAGTTCTGAAATAGAATCCAAACTTCAAAGTACTGCAGTAAAATAAAATGGATTTAAAGTTACTGAAAATACACCTGAAGTTAAAATATTGTCGATGACCAGGACCAGATGAAAAAGATAACTTTGAAACCTCACAAACTACATTTGCGGTCCAACTTCTATCACAAGCAAATCCTGCAACGTCACTTTCAAGGGCCTGAATAAATACAATGTGGATCCCAATGATGAGCTTATCAAGGTGGATGTTTATGTTTATTTCTAAAGAAGAAACTAGAGTGTGCATGATATGAGATGTTTTAGGGGTGAGGAGTGTTTTCTTTTGTGACTATATCTCGCCATAAATTGAAGTGCAATATAGGCTTCTTAGTTCTATAGGTATATTTTTCAAATGCAAATTAGAAGACATCGAGAGTCCTCCTCCTTCACGGATCATGTTCTAGATCTTAGCTTTACAAAGTTTCAAGTCTCTGTTATGCTTGAACCTGATGTCCTCCTCATTTGTATGTGGCTTGCTCAGTTCAATTCAAGGAAGTCTAATGTCAGTTCTAAAGTTCTTAACTGATCTTTCTCAAGTTATTGGCTGATTCTTTTTACTTAATTTCCAATGTATGATCCCATCGATGCCTTTTGCATGTTTCACATATTAGTTCTTTTACTTTTGTACTGAGCTTGGTTATGTTCCTGAATTGTAATGACTAATGATCCTTATTAGGGGCCTGTGGTACAGAGTAGTGCTTCTATTTGCTTGTGATTTATTTTTGAGATTCATTTTTTCATCACTCACTTTGTAAGCTAAGAAGGCCATGTGAGCTCGTCTTCATTCCTGCCCCAAGCTTTTTTGCATGATAAATGCCTTAACAGGCTGTCTTTTTTAAGATTATCTACTTTTCTTGGTCCGCAATGCCATTTCTGCCACCATTAAGAAGTCCAATTCTATATTTCTTAGTAAAAGCTCATATTTCATTCGCATGTCATGAGCATGATGTCTATGTGCAGGCATTCCGCATTCTAGTCATCCTATGTGAAATCAGTTTAGAGACCCTATTCCAGGATTTCATGTACTTCCTTTCCGCTTATATTGCCCATTTACCTGTATAAGTTGCATTTTCAGACCATGTTGCAGGGGGACCTTGAGATTTTGTTGAGTGGTCTGTATGTTTTTTGGTAGTGTGAATCTCACATGAAACCTACTCGTATAACTTTAACTTACAAATTTTAAGTGATCACTTAATATCTGAGTTTGATGGATATTGATGTGATGATTTTAAATCTCACTTGATTAATCATGCATAGCGATAGTTTATTCTGCATTTACATTATCATTTACTCTCAAAGTTGCCTTATACATAGTTTTTTATGGAAAATCTACAGGATTCATTTTACCGTGGTTTGACTGCTGAAGAATTGGAACATGTACAAGAGTATAACTTTGATCATCCAGGTAGTGCTGCCGTTTGTCTATTGCTTGCCTGGATGGATATTCTATCATGAATTAAAGACTTTACCATTCATGTTTGTGTAAAATATTTAGAAGGTACAAAAGAAGCTTGAAACTACGAGGTTCAGTCATCCTGATACATATGAAAGCATAAAATGCCAGCAATTAATGGGTCATAAAAGATAATGTGTTGGAAGCTACTCCTCTTGCATTTGGTCTGTGTTCGATCCTTAAGTTTTTAAAATTGATGAGATGACATGAGAGTCATCCAAGTCAACTATTCTCGACAACTCACCTGCTTCCTGCTCAGACTTAGGAATTGGCTGAGTTTGAAACTTTGTTGTGTAGAGCATGTGGATATCGGAATCTATATATCGGAATTCCTTTTCTGTAAATATCTTCATGCCATTTCCGTCCTGCAACTATCAAGGCTTCAACAAACGGTCCGCCTGACGCCTAGGCAGCCTGAACAAAAAAACCGCACGCCTCGACCCAGGCGGCCCTACACGGGCGGTTGTACCTGGGTGGGCACCCAGGCGAGTGCCCAGTTCTGGGCGGGAGCCCAGAGTCATAAGGCATTTTTCGACTTTAAATTCGCCCAAAAGGGCAAAAAGGGTCATTTGACCCCCAAGTTTGTATAAAAATGTTATGGGGTTTATTTTTTAACCCCCAAAGTGAAAAAAAAAAAGAAACCCTCAATCTCTAAACTTATTGCACCACAGGGCACCCGAGGTTCTGGGCGCCCGCCTAAGCGCTGGGCACCAGGTAGGCCGCCTAGCGTTTTTTGAAACCTTGACAACTATGAAGAAGAGGCAGTTAGGTTCTTGGATAAAAGACTTTAGTTAATGTTTCTAGAAAATTACTGGCCGGTGGTCTACTACCGACCTTGAGATCTGTTTTTTTGTCCACCCAATTGCTGCAAACTCACACTTTTGGAGGTAACTGTATATCTAATTTATTATATATTTAAGGTTAACATTCTCAAAAAAAAAAAAATACTATATATATAAGTAATAATTACTTATGTACCCTCCTTTCCTCTTTAGCTGGGAGAATTTATCCCCTTTTTCATTCTGTTTGCTAGGGAACCTTGTCTTGTATTTATGTTGGTACAACAGTTTGGTGTTGATTATGTTCTCTTAACATAGTCTAAGAAAAGTCCCAGGGTTATGATGATGTTGACTTTTTGAAAAATATGTTTTTGGGATTTCTTCTCATGCATTAGGCTATTTGTGGAGGAATAGCTTGTGTAGCAGGAAAGTTACCAATGGCCAGGTCAATGGTCGAAGAGGATTTAAATATGTTTAAATCAGTCCAGTGAAGTAATAACAGCCTAAATCACTTTTAATAAAATATAATCTTTGTGTTATGGATGTATGAATATGTATATCGCTGTGCATGTGTATTTATTTACGCATTAGGTTTTGTATTACCATCTTTTTCTTCATTATGATGTTAACTTTATGACCATCTTTCTATCAGATGCTTTTGACACTGAACAACTTTTAGAATGTGTGGGCAAGCTAAAATGTGGGCATTCTGTTCAAGTTCCTATCTATGATTTTAAACGGCATCAGCGGTCCTCAGATGCTTTTCGACAGGTATGGGCTCAACAGAAATATGAAATATTTACTGAACTATGGAGCAAGATATATTCTTTTCTTGGAGTGCTGGACTTGAATGAAAATGTTATTCTCTTATTGAAATATTACTGACATCAGGTCAATGCATCTGATGTCATTATTCTGGAGGGAATTTTAGTGTTCCACGATCAGCGAGTTCGTAACTTGATGAACATGAAAATTTTTGTGGACACAGGTATCTTTCCTCTCTGTAAGCTGCTTACTAATGATTATTTTCTATAACAAATGTTTGTTCTATCTCTATCAAAAAAGAAACATGTTTGAATACATGGTAGCAGTCTGCTGTCATAATATATAGTTCAGTTGTTACAACCTGTGAGATACACAGGCTCCATCCATCATCATCATCATCATCTGAGCCTTACTCCAACTATTTGGGTTTGGCTATCAGGATTCATATAGAAATGTGGTAAAAGTTTTATGCTGGCTGCCAGCCTAACATGACCCTCCTCCTTTCTCAATCTAACACAAGCTCTAATCAAATTATGAAATATTTGCCAGGCCAATTATTTTAAAGTGACATAAAATTTTCTTAAAACAATTAGAAATCGTAATTAAAAAATAAAGAAGTATTTATCTTGGGAATTTATTTTCATCCTATGCATGCAAAGAAACCCTATTTATTAGAAAACTACTATGCAACAGTAAACTTTTGTTCCAATCCCAAGAATTGGAATTATAAATTTTTTAAACAATAAATTCATGATAAAAAAATTCAAAAAGTTTAAGAAAGTGACATGTTATTCACTGTTAGAAATTAAAATTAAAAGATACAATTTTATTTTGATCTTATGTATGCATGGAAACCTTATTTCTTAGGACTCTATAAGAAGAAATTATTTTTTAAGTCCCTTCTTTTTTAACTTATTTTTTAAAAATCATAATTCGTAATTAAAAATTTTGAAAAAGAAATTTTCATATTTTTAGCTTTGAAAATAAAAATAAAAAGTGCTTTATCTGAATCCTGTATAATGCATGGAGACCTTATCTACGAGGACTCTATATAGAGAGATTCCTCCTAACATTTTATTTTAAATCTATCAAAAATATTATTTGAAGAACAAAAGTTTGTAACTAGAAAATTAAAAACTAATTAGCTTATGAATTTATTTTTTCTTATACATGCAATGAAACCCAATTTATTAGGACACAACGTTGCGATGGTAAAATATATTTCAAATCTCCCTTAAATTTAAATTACTATGATTGCAATTATCCCAACAGGGTAAAATGCTCTTTTATTGATCATATAAGTTTCTATGGATCGTTGGGCACCACACTACACCATCGCCTACTCTGTTGTAGCAATCTTTAACTGTAATCTCAGGCAAAAGGGCTGCTCGAAAAAGCACTGGCAAGTGATTATGGATGGAACAATCTCCACTATGTCATCCCAAAATTAACTGTAATCTCCCCTTCCAATTCTAATCCACATTCCTTCCTAAAACACATGAGCTACTGAATCTATACCATGCCAAACGGTTTACATTATTGATTATCTTGGGAGATGATTTCCATCCATTTCTTTCAGAACTATATTTAGCAACAAAACCTTTTCCCCACAATGCTTCACCCTCATAGTGAAAATGGCCGTTTCCTAATAAGGCTTTATTATCAGTTTCTGGTAGCTGTAACCAATCCCCATTGCTTACTTTGGCTTGCCTATGTTTTCCCGCTTAACTAAATGGAACTTGCAGTGTCACAATTTCCTTGCCATAAATTTGCGCTTATATGTGCTCAAGTGTCTTTATAATTGCACAAGGTGCTTGGAAAATGGATGCTTAATGTACTGGTATAGAACTCAACTCGGCCTTGGTTAATGTTATGCTTCAGACCATAGATAGAAACATTCCTTTCCGAGAGGCTAGTCTTATGGCATAAAGGAAATCCCAGATATCTGCTTGGAAATTTTTTCTACTTTGCATTCTGAGCCTATCAATAGTTGAATTGGCCCATGGCTATCTCAAAAAGATGAGATATGCTTCAAAATTTTCATCTCATCTAATGTATCCCCACAAAATATAATAGTATCATCTGCATACTGTAAATGGGTGATTATGTGTCCAATCAGGCTTGGCGCAAACCATCAAAAGAGACCAGCCAAACATTTATTATGAACCAATTTAACATTTTTGTCATGATCATAACAAGGAAGGGAGTAAGGGGATTTCCCTATCTAAGCCTTCTCAAGCTTCTAATGAAGCGTTTCGGAGATCCATTGACAAGGATGGAGGAAGAAGTTGTAGCCACACTAGGAGACATCCAATAATCCATCGCTGGCCAAAGGTCATCAAGGCCATAGCTTGAAACAGGACATCCCAGTCCGCATAATCGTATGCGTTCTCTAAACTGAATTTCAGGATTAGATGCCTTCTTTGTATCTTGAGTCAATGCACTCATTTGCCACCAAAGCACCATTCTATAATTTGTCTGCCCTGAACAAAATGATAAAAGAGATCACCAATCCAGGTAACCTACTTGACTTCGTTGCAAGTGCCTTATCTAGAATCTTATGTGATCTCTCTTTTATCAGTATCTTCAACCCTTGGAAAGATGAAAGTAACATTCAAAGCTATATTTAGTGTGCCCACAGGTGAAACCAATGGAATGGATGAGCAAATGTGGGTACTGGAGAGTTGAGGCATTTTACTGTGATAAGTTTCTGGGATCAGATACCAACATCAGGCCATGAACAGGGAAAATCTAGAGCTGAAATGGAACCCTTGAAGAGCCTGTTTGTTTGATTAGAAGACTACCTAAGGTTGCCTTCAGGAATAATATCAAGAGTTGGGATCTTGCATTGGCTATGCATACTATGTTGGAGTTAACAAGAGGACCATGGATGCCTATTTTTCACAATGCGGTTTGGCAATTCATACTAGAGAGGTTCCAAACAAAAAGGACATTCACATCCAATCTGGTGCGTTTGGTTGATCGGTCGATCTGAAGTGTGCGAACAATGGCCATAGTGATTTGAAAGTACGGATAGAACAACATACTCAGTCTTTTTGAAGAGAGAGCAAAGCAAAGTGAGACAGACTTAAGGAACTACATTTGGCATATCAAATCTATGTTCTCTAGAAGCACAGCCACAGAAGCGGGGCCATCTAATCATACAAACAGATACTTATCAATTGGGCATGAAGCCTAACCCTCCCTTGAGAAGCTTGATCGTGGAGTCCCCATTGGTTACCACCTGGGAGGGATTACATAAAGCTCAACACTGATGGGGCATGTTCACAAGGCAGAGATGGGTTTGGAGGCATATGTGGTGGTCCACGCATCTTTTGCAGGTGGAATAAGAGGCAGCAATAATGATGCAGAACTGAAAAAATGTGATTTTGATGGGACTCGAGAGAGTAAAGAAATGGGCTAAACTATGGGTGGAGTCAGATTCAAAGTTCGTTGTATATTGATCAATTTACGAAACAACGCTGGGTACAAAGTTTGGGAGAAGCTTGAACATAGCAGTGGATATTCTCGGCATTCTAACCAGTGTTTCACAACTCAACATGTCTGACTCAGACTGGGGAAATTCACTTGGACCTGGCAGGGTGCTGGGTCCGAGAGTAAATCCTTCGGAAGGGAACTGGCCAAGTCTCAGTGGCACTGAAAGTTTCATTGTTTCAGATTCTGACTTGGACATGCCTGAGTCTGATTCACTAACTCAGACCTGGTCCCTGTCTGATTCCAGGTTCGAGTCCAAGTTTAAAAACAATGCTAAGAAGTACAGTTCTCACATACTTACAACCATTGCAGCTGAGTAGCTAATTTGATGATATAAAGGGATGTAAAAAGTGATGATCTCATTATATGGACCAGAATACCTCTCTTCCCACGCAAAGCTGTGTTTGAGGATTTGTGCCTATTCCAAGTCAGTTATCGGTTAATGGAGGGATAGATAACGCAATGAGGAGAGGACTAACTAGTAGACCTTCAGTTTTCATTTTGTTTGTTGTGATTGAGGAAGGGGGGCTTTCTTTCCTATAATAGGGAGGTTTATAGTCATAATAAGTATATATTCTCTTTTCAAGGTAATAAACAGTGGGTCCTTAAAAACCTCGGTTTGCCTAGTCAACCAAGAGAGAGAGCGAGAGGAAGAAGGAGGAGGAGAAGAAGAAAAACAAAAAGGCAAAGACACTTGTCCTTATGGGTTCTTTTTTTAGGCACTGGTGGAAAATTCCAGAATGATTTGTTTTGAGATATGGTATAGTAATTTTTTGAGATATGAATCATCCAAAATGACGCTGACCTTAAAATTTGAATAATTTCCATTCTTGAGTTTTTTCTTGTGGTCTAGATTAATCAATAATTACTTAGTTGCTCATTCTTGTTTTTAAGTTCCTCGTGTTTTAAAGGAAATTTGCAAGTTTATGAAATAAAAATGTGTTCTTTTTGTGAATGTGTGCGTACATACGTATGTATGTATGTTTATTGGTACATAACAATTCTAATTTCTATAGAATGAGCATGTTTTGGTTCTTAGTTATATAGATGCAGTTAATTTCATATCCATTTCGACCATTTTTTGTTTTTTATTAGATGCTGATATCAGGCTTGCTAGAAGGATACGGCGTGACACTGTAGAGAGGGGTAGAGATATAAATTCTGTTCTTGAACAGGCAAGACCTACAACAATGTGGTGATTTTCCTTTATGATATATGATATATTGAGTGACCTAGTTGTCAACTTCTGTTTAGTTCTTGTCGTGCAATTGGTATGGAGCTGTTTCTTCCAGAAGTTAATGCAAATATCTTGAAATAGAATAATTGTTTTATGCCCTTCACAAATTCAGATCATGATCAATTGGCTTGAATGCAAGGAATGGCATTTGACTCACATCACTTGGAACCATCAGAACTTCTAACTTTGAGTCTAACTTTTTGATGCATCACAAATTCTCCTCCAATATATAAATATGCAGTGAACGAGTCATCTCCTTTCTATGCATGCTAATATGAAGACTTATTTACCAAAAAAAAATAGGATATGGACTCACGAATTAAGGGATTGGCATGAAAGCACCTCATTCATATAATTGTAGTTTTTGGATTCTGGAATGACCTTGTCTATTCCCATATATCTAAATACTTAACTGAAACTCAAACTCTTTTGTTCCATTAACCTATGGGGGCCCGTCTCTCTCTCTCTCTCTCTCTCTCTCTCTCTC